ACTTTTTTTTTTGTAGTTTTCTCTTTTGTTTTAAACATTTATTATTTGCTAGGTGTGATATCATGATTTGGAAATCATGTGACATTGACTGGACAGGTGTTTGTTTCTATGACACTGTTTATAAATAGTGTTGGCATGTTTTCCTTTACTCTTGTTTTCAAAAATAATTCAAATTCTCTATTTTCATCTCCAGACTTTCTCACCCAAATTATTCTGTATTTATTTCTTATATTTTTAAATATTTTGGATGAACCCTAATTTTAGGGCGAACAGACAAAATTTGAATCAATTTTCAGTTTTTACTAAAAAATTTGGCTACTTTTGTCCCAACCTTCTGAAGGAAAGTGCAGACTATAAAACAGGAAACAGTGAAAAGAGGGATCTGGCGGTGAGAAGGTTAATTTTATTCCATTGATGGTACCAGATTCAAGTCTGTATTAATATTTTTAGTGTACATTGTGGTGTTTTCAAGGTGGTTTTTATAGGGCAGTGATCACTGGATCAATGTAGGTTTTTCTACTTTGAAATTTATAATATTTATAGGAGAGATTAACTAGTTACCATTTAAAATGATTTGTAAACATAGTTGTGTTAGTTCATGCCTAAATAAAATATTATTTCCTTGTAAGATAATATTTCTCATTATGCTTAGTTAATGTCTTCATATTGTTTTTTACTGATGTTTTTTGGTAGCATAACATGAGTATTTGTTTTTATTTTGTTATTTTACTGATCAATAATGTGTTCTCATTGCAACCAAAATAAAAAAATGGCCGCAAATGAATCACGCAATTACATCACATCAGCACTAAACAATGAAAATAATAAATACTGTAATCTCCTGCAGTATATGTTAATACTAGTACTGCAACAAAACACCAACCTGCAATTTTTCATCTTTACTTGCAGCCATGGCAACCATGATCTCCATGACTCCATCTCTTTGAATCATTTCACTTCCTACATCAAATGGTCCTTGTAACAATGCTGTAATGGCAGTGATGGCTTCCATGTTGGACTCCATGACATTATGCATGAAACGCTCTCTGAAATACAGTAACCGTATATCAAGTATTGAAACCAGACAATCTCAACAAAGAAGGGCTTCCATGTTAAAAGTGCGACTCACAAGCTATCGCCTGATTGGATACCCAATCCAACCCAACCCAACAGTCAGACAAAACTTTCATGACATGTACATTTAAGAGACTGCAATAACCAAGACAACACATAACTGTACTTCACCTTATTTGTGACCTGTTTGAGGGGGGGGGGGGGGGTAGTTGATTGGCCAATTTATATGACATCACCATTTATGACATGTACTAGTAAATCCCAATGAACAGAATTTGCCAGAATTTTTTTTTCTAGATCCGCGGGTAACATACTCTGGCTAGCCAAAGTGGTATTTTTCTATAATTTTGACCAAATAAACATTTTTCATGGGCTACAAGTTTTTAACAAAATTTAAAACAATTTGTGCTACTAAAAATGAAAATACTGAACCCTATTTGAATTAACATTTATAAATTAGTTAGAATGTGTCACTTACAAATGTAAAAAAACAAAAAAAAGTCAGAAACCTTAATTGCTAATGATACTCTCAGAGTTTCTACTTACGTCAAGAATTTGTTGACAAGTTCTTTGTAATACGCCCTGTTTTTATCACTTAACATACTATCATACAACTCTTCAAAGAGCAGTGATGTGCGCATTCTTGTATTGGGTGTAATTGGCAGTCGTTTTAAATCAGGTACTTGACAGGCTACATGAAGCAATTTATTCAAACCTAAACAAAAAAATAAATAATGAATGAATGAATGAATGAATGAATGAATGAATGAATGACTATTAGCATCATCAGTACTGATTATTGCTTTTGTTATTCCTAAGTTAAAATCCAACATTGTGTTGTGACTAAGTGTAATAAACTACTTGTATCATTAACCACAATTTATATACTAACTTAATATGGCATAACTCAACTACTTGAGACCCATGCTATGAAAGCAAACATCCATTTATAGTTAATAATATGAACACATTATCACAAAATTAATAAATTTGATCATATTTAAAAGTAGTAAGATATTTACTAAATACAAAGTATTTTTAAAATTATAAACTTAAAATCATAGATATTTTCATGAAATAAAATAAAATCAGCAGCAGACAGGAATAACTGAACATCAAAACACCTGGTACTACTCTCTCATTTCAGCTTCCAGGGGAGTTACAGTAATCATTTCGCCCAACCTCTCGCCAGTTTCCTATTTTCAATCTCCTTTTTTCACTTGCTTTTGTGCCCGCTTGTTGAATTAGACCGGACAATTTCCACTTTATTGTCGACTGCACAAACCCAGAAATATTACCGGCTCACTCACTTGCATTTAAAATTCGGACAGCCATCAAAAGTTCAAATACTTGTTGTTTTAACTATCTATAATTATATGCACGCAATCTGACCCTTTGACCGAGATTTGGCTGCGATTGAATATTTTATTTTAAATAATTCTGACATGACACACTGCTACAAAATGTATTTCAGTACAAGTACTACATGGTTGTCTGGGTTTCCTTTGCTGATTGTTGAGTCTTTGCAATGTGTTTGAGATTTTGTATAATTATTGTTGTTTTCCCCCCAAGGAGAAGACGAGCCAAAGGACCATGAAGCTAAATAGCAGTTCCATCACCATGCATGGACTGAGTGAAAGAAAATATTTCTAAGCCCAAAATAAAACCTAATATTACACCTCTTTGTGTATTTGTCAATTTTGCAGTACGTTTGCAAAAAAATCTTGTCTTTTGTTAAAAATTTTGATTGTTTAGAATGTCTGTCGACCGTGTCCCAATAATTTGTTAGGAATGTCGATCCTGTTGGTTTCTCTGTACTGAGTTTAGGACAGTGACAGGCATTGGTCCTAACAGTCATCATTCAAGACAATCATTCAAGACAGGACAAACATTGACCGTAATTCATCGGGATCATGTCCCGTAATTTGTGGGCTGAAAACAAAAATAATTAATATTATATTTTTTTTTGTATTTTACATCGCAAAACTACAACAGAGCTAGAGTTGTCTCGGTGAAACAACCGCATTCAAACGGTGCAATTTCAACTATCCAATTCTTACATTAAGATCAAAAAAATAAAAATTCAAAGAGCATCGGGAATATATTTATAACCATTCTTACCAATCGCTAGCTTTATTTTATTCGAATCCATAAAATTAAGTTTTTTGACATTTGTTGGCAACTTCCGCGCTAAAAATGGTTGGGTGTGGTTCTCTCGCAATGTCTTCTTAATAATACGGACAAATATGGTTCTGTGACCCAGGTCGTGCTCCGATCATGTGACTTTCAGCCAATCAATGATGTTGTAACAAAGCATATTTGATGCTAATTGAAGGGTTGTCTCGGGTGTTGATTCACATAGTTTTTTGTGCTGTGACAGGCTTCAAAATTTCATCATTGAAAAACATTGGTATATTTTGACAAATGGGATGGAATTGATTCACATAGTTTTTTGTGCTATGACAAGCTTCAAAATTATTCACTGAAAAACATTGGTATATTTTGACAAAAGGGGTAGGATTTGACCTTAGTTCAAAAAGAAAAAACTAGGCTGAGATACATTAGTGGCCACGGCGAATCAGTTTTCTTTGCAAGTTGTGAAATAAGGTAAACCAGAGTAGGGTCAATGATTTTCAGTATCGAAGGACTTCCGTATGATTTTCAAATTGTTCATTGACTGGTCACCAAATGTTTACGGCTACAACTAAATTTGACAAATTTTTTATACATGTCTAGCTCTGTTCGAAATCATGTAACAAGAGATTGCCGTTCAGTTGCTTTCATGAATGATACAAGTGTCATACAACTATTAGATTTGAAGTGTCGTTAATAATAGTTAATACTAGTTGTATCTTCATACTTTACTATCAAAACTACTCATGCGGCAGCAGTCAGTATTTTCTTTGAGCGAGCGACTAAAATGGAAATTAGGCGATTAGTAGTCGATTAAAAAGTGATAAAAGTGGAAGGTTAGGCGAAATTAGGCAGAGAGTTCTCAGATTGAACGTGGTGAATTGAGTACTGTAAAAAACCTAAGGAATTGTACAATGCCATAATCTGGTTTGCTCAGTGTACACTAAAAAAGCTTGCAGACTGACAATGTACAATGGTAGACAGTTTGTATTAATATAATTGGTTCTACCTGGTCAGCTTTGATAACAGCACATTGGTACTAATATTAATTAATAACTACATACCTCCATTAGTTATGAAAGAAAGTGATTTTCCTTTGCCGTGTTTGTTTGGTAGAGTTTTAATCAATATATCTAGGACAGCATCCCTTCCATATCCAGAAATACTTTTATCTGTTAACAGCTTCATCACAAATAATAAAATACTTTTAATTTCTTTATCAGTATCTACAAAAAACAGACATTAATTTTGCAAAATTAGATGATAACATTTCAAATAAAAGGCTTCTAGGGTCTACGATTCAGAGTATATTTTGAAAAAAGGTTTCACACAAAATTAGCGAGTATTTCATGGTACATTTGAAGAGACTTCAAATGTGATATAGGCAAGTACCCTGAAATCATGCAACATATTTTCTCCCAATTATTTTCAGCAATTTTGACTAAAATTTCCCATTTCAGCAAAAATAATATTGAGTGATATATTAAACTAATACAATGATTTGACAGATATAATTTGAACCAAAAAGTGTAAGAACATTACAGTATTAAATAAAAAAGTAACCCATGAAATACTTTAAAAAAAAAATATAAAAATTATATTGAAAATATCACTTTTTACCAAAAATGACAAAAATATTCACTAAAATTAAGGATATCATTACAAAATGAACAAATCTGAGAGAGGTCCACATATAGTACCTATATATGTAATATCAAAGCAATTGGACTTGCGGTTTTTAACAAGAAGTCAAAAATATCACTTTTTACCAATATATAGTAAAATGCATAAAAATGTGTCAGAAATATGTTACCTGCTACGACAGCCTGCTCTTTCCCTTTGTGTTCAGTCGTATCTTCCTTAATAAATGAAAATATAATCTGCTGTAGAATGTTAGCACCGGCTGAAGCAAGGTCCTCATCATCTGTACCAATGTATTTACCAAGTTTGTCTAAACCAACGTCTCGCACAATGGCACACGACTAGAATTCAAAATAAACCATGTTTGAAAATGACCAGATACAAACTCTTACAAATGCTTTGTACAACTGACCAATGATGATCTACATGTACTACCGGTATAATCATATTTTCTTTGCGGCATGGCATATAGTTGGAAATTAGAGGCCAATGAATTCACCAGGTATCAAAGTAGAATGCTACTCATGAGTTTTTTACATGTGCAAATATTTTTGTGCATATAACAGTAACAATATTTTGTGTCAAAATCTGTCTACAATTAATAGACCTTGGCTTTGTCTCAACACATGTGTTTAGGACAAATTTAATAGTACATATTAGTGGATACATCAACTCAAGTTTAAGGATATGTCAGAAAATGGCTGACCCAAGGTACACATATACCAAGTATTAAAGCAATCAGAGTAGAGGTTTCCAAGAAAAAGTCAACAATAAGATGTTTTACCAAAAATGACAAAAATATTTGCCAAAATTACAGAATTGAAGGTATCGTCACGAAATATTCAAATCTAACAGGGGACCACTCAGAGTACATAACACATAAACTAAAACCAACCAGAGTGAAAGTTTTCAAAAACATATCGTCACAAAATATTCAAATCTAACAAGGGTCCACTCAAGGTACATAACACAGAGTCTTAAACCAATCAGAGCAAAAGTTTTCAAGAAGATATAGTCATGAAATATTCAAATCTAACAGGGGTCAACTCAAGGTACATAACACAGAGTCTCAAACCAATCAGAGTAAAAGTTTTCAAGAAGAAATTAAAATAACATTATTTACCAAAAATTACAAAAATATTCATCCAAAATTAAGCAGTGATGATATCAGCACATAACCTCAAATCTCATAGAGGTTCACCCGAGAAACATATGTTTGGTACATACATGTTTGGTATAGAAGTAATAACAGTTTCCGAAAAGAAGTCACCATATGTCACAAAGAAAATTTTTAGATATTGAGATACATCTTTGCCATAGGAAACAAACGTAAATTTTTTTCAAACTGAGTAATCTTACTTTTATGTTGCGTTCTACCTTAAAGCAAAGAGTTTGCACCTGCGCATGCGTCAGTGGCCATAGCGTGTCATTGTTTACAAACAAGTGTGTACCCACGAGCCTTTGCATTTTTAGCGTGTGTTGTTATCATCGCTTGGGACTCAATTCCCGTGCGTGTGCAGGTGACAACCCTGCCGCTTTAAAGGGTGGAGTTCATACCGATGTGTTATGTTTAATATCTGTCCTATGCGAATGTATGTGAAATAGATTGTTAGCACAAAATTTGAATCAAACAAAGTATTTATCAGTTATTATTGTTCAAACCTTACCCTAGCTTTATGACCTGTACAAATACAGGCCAAGGCTCTTAATGCAGAGAGTTTAGTTTCCTTGTCATCATCATTTGCAAGGTTCAGTATCTGCGGCACTCCATTCTCACGAAAAATCCTCTCTGCACCAGCTTCCTCTCTAGCGAGAACTATCAGATTCTGAGCTGCCTGTGGAGAAAAAAAAATATTCAGGAGATGCTTAGAATTATTATAGATCTCAGAGTTTGCAATTAGCGTCATGTATCATATGACCACTGGTCTTATGCTTTAAACCACTAAATTAAACTGTTGGTGGTCCATGTTGACCAACAACTTTATTTTTTCAAATGTAATGTACCGTCAAATCTGTATTAATTAAAAGCCGTATCTCTAATAGAAGTTGCACCTATTCTTTTTGAATAATTTAGAATAAAAAATTCATCATTTCTCATATGTGTAGATGCTCTAATAGAAGCCGCATCCCCTCTGTTGCATTCTACTATTTTAATAGAAGCGGCAGCTTTTAATACAGATTTTACAGTACTAATGTTTTAGACCACCAACCAATGTACTTGACTTCTACAGTGTCTGTTAAATGAATTGAAATAATAATTTTTTTTTTCAACTAAAATGATTTAATCAAATACCATAATGCGTCACGGCAAGGCATTTAAAGCAAGTGTTGCTACACCATCACTCGCCACTGTAGAGAAATTCTCCTGTAATTTATCTGTAGTGTATCAAGGTGATTGACAGGTAGAATGACGTCATGAAATTAATTATTTTAGTTAGAGGAACATTAGGCTAGAGGAACTGCCGACAATCTATATTCCAGCTTCAGTCTCAAAATACCTGGTAGATTATTTGCATTCAGAGTTAATTTGTCATGAAATATCAGACATCAAAGTTGTTTTATTATGTTGATTTATCATCACTCACTACTGAATCTATTTGCAGGATATTTAAAATATGAAGAATACTTTGTTCATGTTTTGTTTTATGAAAATTACCAGAAGCAAACTACCAAAGAATTTCAAAGAATGAAAAGGTTGTGAGAAAGTTGCTGATGATGAGTCAGATGATTCAGACACTGATTAGGTTTTGGACCACCAATGTTTTACTATAAACCATCTGAATTGTAAGATGGTGGTCAACATGAACCACTGGTACCCTCGGTAACTAAATTTCAACCCTGCATCTATATGAGTAACAATTACCCATAATTCAACAGTATTGAGTATGGTATCTGCAGTATACCTTCATAGGAAATGAAAATTCCACGATAAGGACAGATTAAACAATTTTTTCAAGATAGCAAATGGAAAAGTACGCCTTTCATAACTTATTAAACGAAGACAGAAAGGACACTCAATCACATGACCTTTGCTACTCATTGCTGGATTAACTTTGAGCATACTTTGGAGCATTTTTATTGTAATCATCTCATATTATTAATGAAATGTTATGAATTATTCATGAAATGTTATGAATTATTCATGAAATGTTATGAATTATTCATGAAATGTTATGAATTATTCATCAGATTTTATGAATTATTCATGAGATGTCATGAATTATTCAACAGATTTTATAAAATATTAATGAGATGTCATGAATTATTCATAGCATTGATTCCAGTAAAATCTAAAGTTGATTTCTGTTTACTATAAACAAATACATGTACCTGTCTTTTCTTTTCTATGTCACACTCATCTTTTGTGTTGAGTAAGTTAAACATTTGCGACACTCGATTAACTGTCTTTGATTGGTCTTCTGCCTAAGAAAACAAGAACAGTTGAGTTACAAACATAAAGTTACAAAAATGACCATGCCAATATTTCAGAAAGCTCACCCATGTTTATGGAGTCTATGGACTAGCGTAAAATGTCAGTAGAATATATATTTCATTATAATTTGCCATTGTATCAACTTTGAACAAAATCGTTCCACAGAAGAAACATCATTTCACCCTTATTTGTAAACAAAAACACCATGTGCCTCAAAACACTATCTACATGTAAATGTGCATCTATTTCTATGAATATTGAACAAAAACCACAGAAAACATCATTTTTGCCCGAAAGACCACTTTAAAAGGATACATAATGATAAAGATTTACATGCACTCGCTAGCCATGATTACATCTATGTCAGTAGTTCACCTACAGAAGCAGCTTGATACAATGTATATAATTATTTAAGTCAAAAACTTTGTTTTATTACATAAAATAATAACTCTGAGTGATACTTATATTTAAGTCACAAATTTGGAAGGTTTTATTAGTGCTTAAATAGGGTGATCAATTTAGCTAGGTACGTGTACCTTTGTTGTAAGTAGAGCTGCTAGTCTTCGACACATCGTCTGTACTGCTGTATTTTTAGGATCCAAATGAATAAGTTTTCTGGATTCTTTGTAGGCTTCTTCATGGCTACCAAGATTTTCGAGAGCCTGACATTTTCGGTACAAAGCTTTGGCATCACTTGGGCTTAATTCTAAGGCTGTTGAAAAAATAAAAGGAAGAAAACAAATTCAAAGTTGCATATGAAGTAAATGGGGAAAACAAACAGACATACTGTATTGTTGTCATGGTGGGGATGGAACCAGTGCTTGTGATAGTGGAAACAGCATTCCATCAAAGGACACTCTCTCCTACCATACTTGTGATATTGGAAACACAATCCCATCAAAAGAAACTCTCTCCTCTCCTACCGTACTTACCCTGGTCTGCATCTTTGACTGCAACTTTGTAGTTTTCCAATTTCAGGTGGCAGGCTGCTCTGTTTTTGAAAAACACAGCTCTATCATTTTTATTATCCTCTGGGCAGGAATCAATGGCATTGGTATATGCTATGATAGCCTCTTTATATTTGCCTTGGCTAAAACACTGATTGCCTTCTTGTTTATATTGTAATGATTGCTCCATCTGTGGGGAAAGAATGAATGTTGAATGATATCTGATACCATGTGAGCATGACAGTTCATTTGCATTTAAAGTATAAACATTATAATGTTACATAACATCCAGGATATATAAGATTAGGGTATGTAAGGGGATATGCTATGAGAATCTTACAGAAAGATTTGAGAGCATTTGAAAGAAATCACATTTCAATTGAACATAATCAATAGTATCACAAAACCCAGTAATGGCTTGGACATTTTTTATTGCGGGAATTAACAGAAATGAACAAGATTATTGTCGCAGTCAAAAACATAAAATGCACATACTGCTCTTTGCAAATATGCAAGGACCCCACCAAAAACGGACTGAAAAAAAAAATATTTTTTTCACAGATTCAGTAAAATGTATTAGGATTTCTAGAAGTATAGATTTCTCTTGTGTTTTTGTGTTTATATCGCAATTCATGTGATTTTCATTGTATATCACACCCTTGCATGCCACAATCTTAATATATATAAACAAACAGGGGCAATTAAGAGGAGTTAACACAGAAATTATGTTTTACTGAAGCTAAAATGCTCATGCATTTCTATAGGTGAAGACAGGACATTCAAAGACTCCTTGGAACAAGAAGAATACATAAACGTGATGAACAACCCACAACATGTCAAAACAATAGCTCAATTTAGATTAAGTTGCCATAAACTTGCCATCGAAAAAGGTCGTTATACAAAACCAAAAACACCAGTGGAAGACAGGTTATGCTCCCATTGTAACAAAGTTGAAAATGAGGAACATCATTTAATACATTGTAAATTGTACACAAAACAAAGAGACGCAATGTTTCACATTATCAACAGTGTAAATGCAAATTTCCTGAATTTGGATAAAGAAAAACAATTTAAACATATCTTACAATCAAAAGATAAAGATACTATTATAGCCCTCTATGTGTACTTGAGTAACAGTAAATGAACAAACAAAAGAATACACTCAGTCACACTTATTTAACTTTTTATTTACTCAACTTTTGCCTACTTACTTTTTTAGTTATTCATTATTAACTTTATTACATTTTAAACACCAAATTAGAAATGTAAAATTTTCTACACGGTTGTAATAAAGCTGTTATCTATCTATCTATCTAATGGCATAGAGATACATAGCATAGTATTTCAGCAGAGGATAAAAATTAAAAAAAAAAAATTTACAATTACATTAAATTTTTTTTTTTATACTTGGTAGTCAGTACTTATTTTTGAAAGGCCCAAGGTGAGACAAAGTCTATAACTGTTACTGTTATAACGAAAATACTGTACTAACTGAGAAACAGGTAGAACGTGGCAGTGACAGCGTTATGTCACTGTTGACTGGATGCTATTCTCACAACTATGAATTCCGCAAGTATGGAATTTTAAGAAGAAATGTTAAATGTGGTCAGGTTTGTGATTGGTATGTGTAATGTTCTGTCATTTAGAATAAAATAAAATATGAGAACATGGCTCTGTAGTTATTGAACTGATGTAACCTCAGCTGAGAAAATTATTGTTAAAATTATCATTTCCATCACATAACTATACAAACAAAGACAATAGAGAATACAATTTGTTCTCAAGTACTGTAAAATACTTTATTTTAGCTGGAATAAATTTTTGCTGTAAAGAGTTTTTGAGTGTTTTGCTTGGAATTTATTTATTTTACTGATTTTTGACGAGTTGAAAGTAAAATATGGGAAAAAAGGTATATCGGTATTCGCTGAATTTTATTTTCACTCAATCATCCCTTCAGCGAAAATAGTAAAAATAAAATTCAAGCAAAAATAAAGTATTTTACAGTATACAGCAACATGTTTTGCTATTTGTTGTAGGTTGTTTTGTCTTTGAGCCAATGCATTATTTCAAAACCTACAAAATATACTCCATTAATTATCCCCGAATTTTGAGAATTTTCATGACAAATCAAAATTGTTTGAAGTGGCAAAATTAGGCGATGGTAGGAACAACTCGAACTCCTCAAAATGTTCACGTATGAGCAAACAAAAACTTCAAAGAAACACAGGAAAAAGCAAGTTTAATCGTCGTTTCAGAAAAAAAAAACAGATGTTTACTAGATTACCAGCTATGTAAACAAAATAAAACAGAACACCATGTTCTGTATAGACTTCTGTAAAAGCTATTTGTCATCAAATCATCAGCCCTTTGTTGAGATACTGTGCTAAATCGAATATTACCATGTAGAGTCCGAGTTACCAAGAAGCTTCAAGTGGGAATAATCAAGAGCTGGAAAGCAGAATGTTCTGGAAGATCGATTCCAATTGAACTTTCTAGTGCTTTGCGGGCAAGAATGTTAGGAATGTGTTCCACATGGCCGTTTCAAGCTTACGACAAGCTGAGACGAGTGTGGAAATCGAACGAATGATACGGCGCAAAGACATCACCAGTAGGTTGGTAATGTTTATCACGATATTACTTAAACACAGTTGTTTTTTGACTACATTCTTTCTCAAAAATATGTACATGTCCCATTCGATTGTTAAACGCGATGGTGTCAACAAAATCTGACGAGTTGATCTGTCGAACACACACTCGCAATATTCAACTAAAAGTCATAAAATATTAAACAAGAGACTTACCTCAGCTATAGACAAAAACAATCAAATCTCTAATCCTAAGACTGCGATATGTGTATTACCCGTGAAGTGGTATGAACGCAGAGAAACTTTCAGACGATGTACACGACAGCTGAAGGAACTCTAAGAGGGAATCACTTCCGCGACACTTAAGTTGAAAGGTCAATAAACAAAGTAATGCAAACAATTTATCGTTGGTGGCGGTGCACCTACTGTGAGAATAGTGTGAGAAAATAGGACAACTCACACACGGGGCAAAATATAGGATGATCACTGAATTTTAATTATAGATACTCTCAACACAGGGATGGTTGTTATAAATGGCAATGAAATGGACAGAGCAATATACTAGTATGTATTCGGACTATGTTTGGGACTGTTATGAGCATTTCAACAAACATCGTTTTTTTTTTTCTCTCTCAAAAGTGGCATTGTGATTCAAATTAACAACGGTCTGTTAGTGAAATGATTGCAAGATTTAGATTTTTCAAATTTCTGATTGTAAACAGTGAATATCACGAAGGCTTGAATGCTTTTTATATAAAATATTTATAAATAAAAATGATGGTTGAAAACTAAGCCTTGTAAATCGAACAATAATTGAAGGAAACCCACACATACTCGTAAGCATAGTTACCAAATAGTTTCTATCCTCGGGGGCGGAGCTACGTCACAGACGTTCCACGTTGCTAAGACGCGCACCACTGTACATGCATTTATATAGGCTCTGTGCGCGCTGCTGTGGAACGCTGGTCGAGCCGGTAAAAATTCGAGAAAACAACACAAACTCAACTTTGAAGTAATCCCAAACAACCAAATTTATATATGTTACACACGTAGGGCTAATATTGTTACACTGTTCAGAGGAGTCTCAACAATCATCCCAAAGTACCGTTTTTTGCGAGTTTTGGGTCTTTGTTTTCACCGCCGCGGGTTGCCAGGCGGTGAAAATGCCCGGATGTCCGCCCCCGAGGATAGCCAATGAAAGCGTATTCTTTGATTCTTTGAATTTGAACGAAGCCCGGGGGCCTTTCATTGTAAATATTTTTATAAATGTTTTATAATTTATTTTATTTATAAACAATATCATGCCTTCATCATGATGAAATTCACTGTTAAGTATTTGGATTGTTATTTTAAATTCATGACAACCAGACCAATAGTTAAAAATGAAACAAAAATGTCAAAGTATTTTGATTTCAATCCATTGAGGTGTCAATATTGCGGATATTATATCCCATATTTACTTAATTACCATACTGGGTATGTTTAATGTGTTCTTTAATGTATACAACAAGATTGAGTCTGTGTTTACCCAAAATGCATTGTGAGTGAATATTTTGACTTTTCTATTGGGTTGCCATGCCGATACTATTCTAATACATAATGTCCAACAGCACCCATACTTTTCTGATACTATTGTCGGTCTATTGGTTTGAGTATATAATATTATGTGAAATTTGGATTTTTAATATCAGTAAACCTCCCCAAAACAGTGCGTTTGCTTTCGATCTGGAAGTCACTTGTCAAAATCAGTGATTTTACTGTATTAGTCTATGGGTGTCGTATCATGCTACTAGTATTTAGGAGAAACAAGCGACACAAGTAGAGACGTAAGCAGAAATTAATTATTGTTACATTGTACAATGTCCACGTTGGAATGTTTTTCAAAAGCCTAACGCATGTACTTTATTCTGATTGGCGTAATACCATATACTAGAAAAGTGAATTATTCTGCTAGAGCCCCAAAAAGTAGTTAAATGTTAATATGAAAAATGTACTTATGGTGATGCTAGTAAGCTTACGTTGTTTGTTTCATCATTGCCTCCATATACGAAGACAAATCGTATTATAAGAACTGGCCAGTTTTGTTTGCTCTTCGAAAGCAGAGCAATAGAAGATGAATTTCATTATCTTATAGTGTACCTGTGGCGATGTACGGTTGTCAGAAAGAGTCATATACTCCATTGTGTAATTTAGTGAATCTCGGATATCAATAACAAACAGAGAGCTAAATTAAAACCAATCGTAAAATTAACATGTTTACAGTATTTTGAGTCTAAATTATGCGTTGAATCATTTGAACTCTCCCCCTACTAGTAATTGGCGGTGCCATAATTCAGCTTGGTTACGCTAGTAACGTTCGGCTAGCTTGGTTACGCTATTAATGCATAGCTAGCTAGGCTAAGTTAGTAGCTCCGTGAACTAGGTTACACTAATAACGTTCACCTAGTTTGGTTATGCTACGAAAAATCAACTAGCTTGGTCACGCTACAATCTTTCAGTTAGCTTAGTGACCATAGTAACGTCTATAACTAGCTTGGTCACGCTACAGACGTTCAGCTTGTATGGTTACGCTAGTAACGCTTACCTAGCTTAGTTGCGTTTTGTACGCTGCAAACGTTCGGCTAGCTTGGTTACGCTAGTAACGTTCGGCTAGCTTGGCTACGCTAGTAACGTTCGGCTAGCTTGGCTACGCTAGTAACGTTCGGCTAGCTTGGTTACGCTAGTAACGTTCGGCTAGCTTGATTACGCTAGTAACGTTCAGCTAGCTTGGTTACGCTATGAAAATTCAACTAGCTGTTTACGCTAGTAACACTCAGCCAGCTTAGGTACGTGATGGACGTTACAAAAGTTTAGCTAACTGTGTTACGATAGTAACGTTCAGCCAGCTTGGTTACGCTAGTAACGCTCAGCTAGCTTAGTTACGTAATGGACGTTACAAACGTTTAGCTAGCTTTGTTACACTATTAACGTGCAGCTAACGTTCTTACGCTAGTAACACTCAGCTAGCTTAGTTACGTAATGGACGTTACAAACGTTTAATAGCTATCTTTGATGATTGATGATTGCCGAATGCACATCCGAGCGATTTAGAAAAAAACACACTTTTCCAAAGCATATGCTTCGCCTACGGGTTTTTCTATGCAAACTGTGATCTTTCTTTTAGGCGAACTGATAATCTGTGCGTTCTGGAAAAGTTCAGAACGGCCGTCCTGCATGCGGCCGGCGCCCTCGGTACTAATTATTCCACCCTTTAATAGCCAACGTTCAGAATAACTGCTTAGAATGACTGTTTTGTCCCAGATCGTCCCTGCTACTTGTTTATGTTATTACGTTCACCAGATATGTTACTTATGGGAGGGGGGCAAGGAGGGTTAGCTGGTACAAGTTAAAGAAAATAAAAAAATGCATTTTACGTTTTTACAAGAAATAAAAGGGTAAGTTCTATTTACAGTAAAAGATACTGATAAAACAAATTCTCAATTACATTTAACATTTTTATAAAATACTTGATAATTTGTGTTTAAGATACAAATTGGAAATTTCATGCAAATTATGCGTAAGTCACCGTCAATTATTGCCAGTGTGGTTTATTACATATGATGTCGAGAATGAGAGAGTAGAAAAAAATACGACGTGGTATTGTTTCAAAGCGGGCCCTCGGGCGACACAATCCGCTTAAAAATCTAGTTCGCATAATAAATTTCGAAGAAAGATCGGCTCATAGTATATCACTATTCAACTTTCTCTCCATTCTTGACATTTTTGACCAATTTAAATATTAATTTGTCATTTTCGTGCATGACCTAATTTTTGGCAAAATCTCACGTACGTTACAAGATTAGTTTTTTCTTTATCAAACCCTAATTACCCCCACAACATTAAAAATCAATCAATCAATCAATCAATCAATCAATCGAAATCAAAATCAATTATTATTATTATTATTATTATTATTATTATTATTATTATTATTATTATTATTATTATTATTATTATTATTATTATTATTATTATTATACAACTGAATCGACAAACTTATAGTATAGACATGTGTAATTACTGTGTTCCTAAATACTGATAGGCCTTTCCTTAACATCACAACATATGGTGACATAAATACTTGAATTCATGTGATATATATGTGTCTATTTTAAGCAGTGGCAACCGACATTCTATCAGTGTGTTCGAATATGATACAGTTTTCTCGGTCGACTCAGTAAAATAAATGTGAGTCTTATGAATATCTAACCTACAGGTAGTCATAGTCATTTTACACCTCGATGCAGTAATTCGTTATTCATGTAATCCTGGTGCCAGCGGTAGTTACAAAACATAAAATACTAGAATTGGCATACATTCGGTAGCTTCAAGACTATCACAGTTAAATCTGGCTTTCTAATGCATGACAGATTATCTATCTGTCCCATGGCTTGTGACGGCTAATGCTTTCCTTGATATACGACAAAATGCGCACATGTAGCCATGGAAAGAAATAGTATATATGCCATCATTAACTAAAATTACGGGGCCGATTAATCCCGTTCGATCCCACACTTTACTAACTGAGCGAACACTAGCACAAGACAAACAGCCCTTTTCAGGGCCACCACACCCTTCTGAGAGTGAATACCATTACATTATTGTTTAAATGTTGTATAAATATGCTTATCCGTTTTAATATTTTACATCAACTGCTTGAACGCGATCTTCATTACACCATCGCCGAATCACCGAATAAAAAGCTTGCCCATTTATAACAGCTTGGCTGGATTGGCTGCTGTTTAGCATCTCAGCTCAACACCAGCCAATCAAAGCCGGCGTAACTTCACGATTGATATTTAAAGCTCCTCGCCACCAAAATGCTCATTACTATGTAATTTCGGGTCTGATAGTTACCTCACTGGGCAGGTATTCCTAAATAGACCCATGCTCTGATATTATCACCTAGTTTCTTACTTTGACCAAGGATCATTTAAACATTTATAAAATGGGCTTTGCATCATGCATTCTTGTTATACTGCTTTAGTGACATACTGTAAGTATTGGTGTTCAAGTTTTATTCATTCTTGTGCGGGAAATAGCAAGGATACCTACGCGACTATCCCTCAGCATATGATTTAGCCCAGGCATTTTCTGTGTCGAAATCACGAACTATCCATTTTTACACAGTCTGGGAAGTCCGAATTACTAAACGAAGTACAGGATGGCGAAACTGAAATATAAAAATAGAATAAACACATACTTAGAAATTTTTCTCAAAAGTATATAAAATATTCATAGTATGGTATAACTGGATCGGAAGTGAACATTGTTTACTACTCTAAATATCCAAACATATTTTAGTATAAGGTAGTAA